AATAATTTTTTCAGAATGATTTGAAATTTTTTAATAACTTCTTAACGAAGCCTCAGTCAAGAAATTGATATTCTTGATTTTTGTCCTATTTTGGCCTCTAGAATCTCCCATTAAAATTGTTCCCAGGGGTGGCTGAACACTCTGTATGTATTAAAATATCGCGTGGAAACATTTCAAATACATTAGAATTGCGTGTGTTTATAAATGCTGGTCGGTAAATGTGTTCTCTACGCGAAACAACTGAATCGTGGGAAATTGTTCGCTCACGAAATACAAATAGGAATGCTTTGAACGAAACAAAACGAAAAAACGAACGATGTGGCGTGGAGCTCGTGCAAGCGTAAGTAAAATACATTCGCGATCGTTAAAATTCATAATATGCACGCAACGAATCATAGCCACGGTACAACGATCGGTATACAGGGTGTCCCATGCAACTGCAACAGGTTATACCTCCTAAACGATTAGAAATAGAAAAAGATTTTATTAGTCAAAGTTAAATGGTATCAAACGATGCATAGTACGTAATTAATTTGATGCACTTTTGTGCATTGGTGCATCAGAAAAATGCAACTGCACTTGTTTTTTAAATGGAAACCTACATTTTTGACTGCACCAGTCTACATGAAACTACTAACACACTTATGCCCTAAACAAGTACAATTATTATTATAGTTACAACAAGTATATTTCCATCTGTTTCTTGACTCGAGAACTTTTATCTTCGATAACTTCCTAACGAGTAAGTTTAGGGCATAAGTGTGTTAGTACTTTTATGTGAAGCATAAGAAACTACATCGACTGGTGCAATCAAAAATGTAGGTTTCCATTTAAAAAACAAGTGCAGTTGCATTTCCTTGATGCACCAATGCACGAAAGTGCATAAAATTAGTTGCATACTACGCATCGTCTGATACCATTTAACTTTGATTCATAACATATTTCTCTATTCCCAACCGTTTAGGAGATATAGTCTGTTCCAGTTGCGTGGGGATACCCTGTGTACCTTCGAGCACGTTCTTCAGGGATCGAATCGAGGATCGATCGAACTTGATTACCATAACCACGACGGAAGAAAAGAAAATCACCATAGCAACAACTATATCGTTACACATTTCGATGCATTCGATTTATGGTAAAAAAATCGTTTCGTAGCAGTTTTAAGTAATCACTTAGTAGATATCGAAATGGTTAATCGACCGGAAGTCGGGTTTTTTAATTACCACGGTAATACGATCAATATCCTGCTGACTTGGTTACGCTTATTGGCAACAATGATTTTTGCACACGAAATCACCACTTCCCAAGCAATAGATAACCAAGCAGCTTATCGATCGACATCGATATATTACCGAGTTAAGGAAAACTTTTACCCCGTAAATAAAGTACAACCTTAAAGCAAATGCAGTTTTTTGTTTGGATCTCAATTCCTTCGTTACGATACCTGGATTCAAACCCGAAGCATCGATATCGATTCAGCACCAGATAACACTTCCGCAAACTACTATTAAGACTCACTACGGTTAACGTTATCTCTATATAAATACAATCGAGAAATAAATAATGCTCATCTATAACGTTTGCTAATACAATATTCGTCGCGCATGAGCAGGGAAAACCTTTTTCCCAGCGAGTTTGCAAATGATCGAGCATCCGTTCGTTAAACAGTATTCGCCTCTGTGGTTCAACCACTTTGGTACGTTTTCTTTGAAACAAAACTGTGAAACAAGCGTGTGAAAACACTGTGGACAGAACTAACGACTGTTGATAGACAGTAAAACGTAACTTGATGATTCGTGGAGAAGAAACGAATCCTCTGCCCATGCGCTTCTCTATCACATTTATAAATTAGACTTCGGACCTCTCGGATCGGCAACAATCACTGGTACATCTTTAACACGGAAATAGGCTTAAGTAAATGTCAGGTAGAGTCAGCACAATCAACAACGGAATTACAGATCTCGCCGGAAATAAACTGCGATCGCGTATTACATATTTCGCGGTGGGGGGTGGGGGGGGGGGGAGCCGTGCAGTTCGTTCGTCGACTCGTATACACACGACTTTACATCTCGCTGGTTCGATTCTCAGTTCTCTCATCAGTCACTCATTTAGCAAAATAATTAACGACACTTTTTTCCTTTTACTCCAGAGCACCGACGTTGATATATCATATATATATATATATATATAAGTTAAGAAAGAAGATGACATCTTGCGTACTAACATGCTTTCATGTTTCAAACGATCAGAAGTGGGGGGGAAACGATAGATATCGAACAGGTCAGCGTCGATACGAACGTCGAGAACTCACCCTTGAAGCAACAACGTTTCGCGGAGTATTGCAATTCTCGTAAATGTTTCGCTCAAGTTTCGAAGTTAAATCTAGTAAAATATAAAATGTATCGTTTAATGATCTTAATTTGTTTATAGGTCGAATTCAATGTTTTCCAACGTTCGTACGACCCTGGCCTTAACGCGAAGGATGTACATAAATGCGTTATTGGTTCGCAAGGTGCTAATTGTAACGCGTTAATTAAATAGATTTTCTATTTTTATTTCTACGTGAACATCCATTAAACTTTCTCGATAACGTTATCGTAAAACGTAACTGAAAAACAGCAAACGTTGATAGTTACAGGGCTGTAAAGTACATTACGCGTTCTCGATTCTATAGATTTCAACGAATATTTGTGCAAACGTAACGCGCGAAATAATGGTTTGGCCAGTAACGAGGATCTCGAGCCTCGATCGCGTTCGGATAACGTACAATAGATTCGACGAACAACGAGATTCGGGGATGAGGGGAGATGGGGAGGGTGCATATAAAAAAATAAATGTTTGTTCCCTAAGATTACGCTTGAACAGCGCGCAAGCATAATTTCTCAATGCACGGATCATTGAAAAGTACGATTAACACCGAGACGAAAATCTTCGATCTAGAGTAAACGTACATCTAACGAATAGATAAAGTCCTTTGCTACGGAATAAACGATTTAGAAAATTGTTAAAAACTGGAGCGATTATATCAAAATATTTGCACTTTCGCTTTCAATGAGACATATATTTGCGAATGCAAAACACCGTGCCAAAAGAGTCGACGAGCACTTTCTATAAATAGAAATATAGAATTCTCTTTGAACGAAGAACAATTTGTATTTTGTGAAAATGTAAAGCAGTTTGTTGTCTCTGAAAAGGAAAATACTCAACGGAGACTTGGAATTAGCAAAGTATCGTTGATCGTGATGAAAGTGCATATGATTCTTGTTGCACGGTGTTGTTGCAAACGCAATCATTGTGCACACGTACATATGCGTTGCGTTCCCGACGTTGTGTGCGCATGTGTACCGTTACCATCGTATATGTATACACGTTGTACGTACGTTCGTCCTTACAGATAAATATATTCGGAAGAAACTCAAGCGAACAATATGCAGAAACAGCATTCGGGGAATCTGACCGTGTCGCAGAGTGGAATAATCTAAGGGGGGGGGGGGGGGGAGGTCGGCGTGAAATTCCTATCAAAGGAAGGGTTACGTTTCTAATTCAGAGACGACGAAAGACACACGCATAGAATTGCCGCGAATTCTACGACCGATAACGACAATAATACGATAACATATAAATACGCACGCTACGAAATTTAACGACACGTCGAATACAATTAACACAGCGATCGGCTACCCCTTCACGCATCGGAATCTCGGGTCTTCGTTTTCTCTCGTATATTACCTTTTTTTCATATTTTTTCAGTTTTCTTATCCGGGCCACTCAATCTTACGGACGGCTGCTCTCATCGAATGGTAATATCAATTACGCTACCTTTGGAAAAAAAGCACGCGGAAATCAGTTTCCCAGCCCGATGATGGCGGCTCGTAATCGTGCTACTCGTGAACGAGTTAAGCTAAAAATGAGTTCTCGATAAACCGTTGCACGTTTTGCATACATACGTAAGCAGTGTTGAGTAAATACCTGAACGCAGAAACCATACGACTCTTTACGCGCGGAACTACGATAGACTTATCTTTAATTTGGTACCTTAAAATATTGCGTTTCTATGTACGAGTACAAATGCTTACGCGCGCGCGCGCGTTTCTGGCTAAAATTCCCTGAAACGTAACACTTGTTCACCGTGAAACGTTTCATTTTGTAATTCAAACTTTAATTTCCGATCTAAATAAGAATTCTGCCCGTTTCGAAACATTAAAAAACCGATACGAGCGTTCGTCCGATAATTCTTGGCGGACAACCCCTTTCCTATTTTCTTTTTCTTTCAAATTTATGCTCCGATTGCTATCGTTATTTTTATATCGACGGAGGACCCGCGTTCCGCCCAAATTATATCCACGCGACTTTCACATCGATTATTACAAAGTATATCATTGTGATCGACAGATATGGTGATTGCTTAACACACACGAAAGAGGAGATTTCGACGGTTTTTTCTCGAAACATTTGTTACCTTCTTTAGAATATGTTTACCCAACACTGTGCACAAGCATATTAGCACGATATACAGAGCTTATTTTGTCGTTTCTTTCTCTCTGTTTCTCTCTCTCTCGGTTTCTATATATATAATTTTTTTGTTCTTTTTTGTACGACTTTCCAGTATCTTTCAGACCCAGGATAAAATCCACGAAGGTTCGTTCGTTTTCAGCGATATTGGTCCCTTTTATCTCTCTTGTGATTTCATAAAGTGTGTTTCCCCGGGAACGAAAAAGCAAACCAAGATCGTTGAAACGGAAAGAAAAATAACGGATTTTAACACAGGTCTGAAGGAACATAAAGAATACGACGTACGTCTGATATATATTTATATTTACAAATACACATATATATATATATAGATATAGATATAATATATCCATATACATATATATTTATTCCATTTCGCTTATGTATATTTATAAATATATACACTTCTATCTTTTTTGTTTATCATATATATATAGATGTATCATTTTTATAAATTATATTCTAAAAAGGAAAGGTACCACCGTCGATAGTCACGTGCGACTCTACTTAAAATTCTATATTGCAACAATATTAATTCTCTTTCTTGATCTTAGTTCTATATATATATATGTATATGTAAATCTATATACCACTTCATGCTCTATTTACGAACATCAACCGACGGCGTCGTCAACGTGAAATCATTGCGTTGCTTGCCCGATCATCGTTAACCTCGATTATGCACCGATATGGACGCGCTTTTTCCCGCGCTTTTCACGAGCGTGGACGTCACGCGACATCCAGCGTACACGAAATAATACACGCGACAACCTTAACCGGGGGGCTGCCAACGAAACGACGGGCAACCCTTTCGTTCGACGCGTTCCATTAACACGATTGACTAGCGAAAATTGATAACGGGTGATAACGGGGGAGTACTATCGTCCGCAATACTTTTTATTACCTATCACGCTACCGTAAACTTCGTTAAATATATGTAGCATTTTATTTTCTCTCATTTTTCGTGAACCGATTTCCCTTGATTTTGTCTAACCGATCGCGAAACACTGCTTATACACGCCACGGAATCGACGACGATAGTTCTCTTCGAGACTCGAAAGGAGGAGAGACTTTCAACGGAAATTAATTTTAACCAATATCTGTGGAACGTATAACGCGTATCGTTAAATCTTTATAATATAGTAAAGATTTTTCCCCCTTCAAAAATATAAACAGATGTCGCGAAGCACGTACGAAAATCAAAAGTATAAGTAGAAATTGAGTAAAAAAACTTTGCCCGATTCTGATCAAAAAAAGAAAGAAAAGAAAAAGGTTCGATAAATAAAAAAAAAGTATGCAAAAAGATCGACGAGTTTAAAGAAAACTAAAAAATATATATATGTATATATACTATATAACATTTGCTATTAGCTAACGACCTTAATATACGAATGTATCTCGAGAATACTTGTCCGAAATTAGAAACAAGAGTTCGAAGAAACCACGTAAATACTGTAAAACAATATAATGTCGCAGATCCCATAAAAAAAAAAGAAGAAAGGATATTCCGTTTTTGTCAGCTCGATGATCGTTGTCGTAATAACAATAATAATAACCGATACGTTCCTACAACAATGCTAAATCTTTTCGTTAAGCGCGCACTTGTTCGCGAATAAATGGAACAACGAGATTTAATCGTCGGTTATCGATACATTTAACACTTTCAGCACAATATTAACTCCCGCGCAATATCGACGGATCGGTAATTCGTAGCATTTTGACTGGCACAATTGTAACGCATAAATCAATTGCTTACTTTCTACGTAATTGTAAAAACCGAAAGAAACCTTTGGATGTTCAATTTAATCTCGCTCGTCGTATCGATGTGTTCAGGACGGCAATCGTTAACGTTCTCTCATCACTGGCACGCACCGCGTTCAACGAACATCGAGAACAACCGACTGTCTGACAAAAACGGATTTGTTACAACCGAACGAGATAATATTGCACTTGACGATTTTATCGATGAAATGGGCGTGCAACGGTGCACGGTAATTATCTAATTCGCACCGTGGTACAAGACTAAAATTAACCTCGTCTCGCTACGCCTAGCGACGATAAAGTGCTCGATCATATTTTTTTTTTTTTGTTTCTTTTTCTCCTTTAAACGTACGGGATAACTGTTACACGGTAATCCTAAACGTAATGATAGGTACTTACACGGCATAGCAGCAAAATTTCCTGTCGAAATAACGCACGGAAACCGTTTTTCATATTTTTTTTTTTCTCTTGTTTTTTAAGCGTAGGCCGGACTAACTCGTCTCCCATGAATAGTAAACATAATCTTTGCGGTTCGAAGACATCGAACCAGACCCGTTTCCTCGGTATTCCCGTTCTGACTAGATTTATGATAAGTGCACGCACGCGGATGAACGAACCCGAGCGCTGATCCTGACCGATCGGACGATTTCGGTTATATTCGCGCGCCAACGATAGCGAAAACCGTTACCGTTGAACGCTACGGAGCGGTACGAATCGACGAGGATACAGCACTCTGGATTCAGCACACGGAGAACCGATATCGACGTGCTTATCGATACAACGATAAGGATACTATGGTCGGTAATTATTGCTATACAAGCAAAAGCTGTAAAAAGGTACGATGATCAGCTACATTTACATGCGAACGATTATTGTTTCTCGCCGATGATTGCAAAACACGGTGTACCGCTTTCGCGAGACCAGCATCGTATTTATACAACTATGGAAATTAATTCTCCTCGTACCGATGGCATTCATCGTTAATTTCTAAGACCGTGCGATGAATACACAAATACGTAAAGACGCGTCGTACCATGTAACATTGATTTTGCTTCGTCTCGATTGTTCTTACGCCACCGCTCTCGTACTTCGAGTCCTGCACAGGCTCGAAGTACGCGGAGGGAAGCGCGGAAATAACCTATATCAGTGATCTCTCTTTCTTTGCTTAAACGGACCTAAATATCTACGGAGGACATAAAAATGTACGGGTACGACACGACGACAATGATCACGACATCGATTTACGTGCTCTGTCGTCGTGATCAACCACTCGAGTACAATCTGGGGCTGAACGTTGTCGTCCAATGGCTGATCGCGCCGACAGAGACACGCTAAAATATTTTTTTTATTTTTCTCGCGCTACTATCCGCGATCTTTAACGCGACTCTTCTCCCTCTCAATTTACGATCACTAAACGTATTTATTACTAAATCGTTACGCTATTATTACTATAATCGGCTAAATCATTTCATTAGAACTATCAACGACGATTTCGAGTTTACACCAAGGAACGAGACTGGGCAGAGTTTTGTGATTCATTCGCTGATCCAGCCCGCAAATTCGGTCGCGAAGCTCTATTGGAAATAACTGAATTCGAAATCTTTGGTGCAAACTTCGCGGCACAAAACGACGAATAACGTGCCCTTCGCTTATAGAGTATTTTGTATCTCTTATTCTTCGCGACGAAAAGTCCCTTTACCATCGTGTTGGATAAATTTTTATCATCGTTAGCCGCTCGAGCCAACATTTCGTCCGACCTAAAGATAACCGTTCACTGAGTTTACGTTTTTACGTACTTCAGGTGCTTTGTTACGCTGCGGATAAGGCTCAACTATTTTTACCACTTAATACTATATGTATAGAGCTTTCAGCTTTTTTTTCTAATTTAAGTACACGAGTTTGATGCATCAAGCCTTAAAGACACCTAACTAGAGACAACACGTACGAAGATTCTGGAAGGTGCATCGATATCGCTAGGTGGACTTTTTGTTTCTCTTAAATCGATTAACAGTAATTTTTCGACACTCACGCGCTCAACACGCGTGTGACGCTCGCGTTAAACATCTCCATCCGATCAAAAGATCCGAAGACATACCGAGAATTCCACGCGATTACATGTTTGATCGTTTCGAGTGTTCCTAATTGCGTGTCCCCGTTTGTCCACGACACTTTAGGCGTACCGTTTAAAATAAGTTAAGTTTATATGCGTACACATACGTATATATCTTTTATGTAACTTTGACGGTGACCACCAGTGGACCCCGTCGCGTCTATCATCGCTTAACATTCTATTTTAAGTATGAAATACCATGATCACCAGAGTCAAGATCGTATCCTGCTCGATCCTCGCTGCGCGACCATGGTTTCTCTTTCTCTCATATTTTTTTTTTCTTTTATATTAAATTTAATTTAAATCCTATCGGAGAAGCGCTGCGAGATGCTCTTCTGGGTAAAGCTCGACGAAAAGTTTAGACCGTTCGAAGACGCCAGATCTCGTTCGAACAGAAACAGAAACTTCTCGATTTTTTTTCTACGGTAATCTATGCTATACGCACAGGTTTATACACAGACTCGACATTTATAATTGCGTCGGCTGGTGGGTTTTGTCAAAACTTAAGCCCAGCTTACGTTCAGTCTTGATCACTAGTGACTCGACACTACGCTAAGACCTAAAAACTCGACTTACTTTTTAAGCAATATCGGAATCAATAACTTGATCATTTGTTTGCATTTTCATTCTGTCGTAATAAAAAATAATCCCTATAATCTGCAACGAAACTATCACTTAAGTACGTAAGCGCTAACAAAAAAAAAGAAAACAAAATGCATAATAAGTGCCAAGTCTTTCTACACGATGTAACCATGAGTCTGCAAATCAGAAAAGATTTCCCTTAATGCACGTTCCGGTGGAACTAAATCACCGATAAAAGAAAAAATAATAATCGATATCGATAATTTTTCCTCATCTTCCAGACTCAAGGTTGATCCTGTGCGAGTGCTTCTTTCTTTTTTACTGGTATAAAATACTTTGTGTCGAGGAACAATCCTCTAAAAGCGCTCTGAGAGGAAACGAAATACACGGTTGACAAGTCATTGAAAAATCCTTATCGATTCAAATCATTCATCCCCCTCTAATACTTCTGTAGAGCTTCTAACAATATTATATGTATATATTTTTTTTAAGAATATCAATTCAACAGAAAATGATAGATCGCCCAGCGATCTTCACCGCCACACACCATCGAAAATGACTTTCTTTGCTCGTATCTTTTTTTTTTTCTTTTTTTTTTTGTACTAGTTTCCTTAACCAAAGTACTTGATTTCCAAAGTACATTTGTCCTCTAACGCCACAAATTGAATCTCTCGTTGGCGTTTCCTCTCGATCACGCTCGTCTCTGGCTTTTCATGAAAATGAAAGGGAAAACTGCGATTTCACTCAAACCTTTAAGACACAATTAGATTCGAACGCGTTCTCGTCTACTTGTGCCAAATTAACGTCGCCGTTCGCTCGTTAACGATCGATATATCAGCGAAAACTGCCAGTTCTTGTACGAAACAGACGTCGAAAACTCTAGTCGAAGTTTCCAAATTTTTCGATGATCTCCACCACTTGATCGTGCAGCTCGAACGTTGGCTTCCAATAACACAGAAAATGATCTCCGGTAAAGACGAGATACAAAGGAGACCCTTAACCGAGCAGCTTCGAAACGCCGATGTTTAGCTTTGCAGATTGGCATCGTCGCCAATATTTTAAGCAAGAAGCGTTAAGTTGATATTAACATTTTGTAATCCTCTTCTTCGTTCACTGATTTCTGTTTCTTACTGTGCTCCAAAGCCAGCAGGATTGAAGTCTTTGTTGACAAAAGAGAAGCCGTGGAACTCCTCTTGGTTGATGCAGTTCACTTCGTCTGGATCTTCTGGCGTCAATACTGGGTCTTCTTTCGTGAATTCCGCGTCGAAGTTCATTGTATCTTTCTCACTTTTCTAAACAACATAATACAATTGTCGTTTAATAAGGTTCAAATAACCGTGTAAACCATTTAAAATAAATTAACTTACAATTTTCGGCCTGATCGGGGGTTTCACTTGACGTGCTTCGAGCGCATCCCAATCGATCCTTTGGAAAAACGGATGAGCTTTTATGGCGTCTTCGCGACCATTAGCCGCGACACAGCCTAACCTGTCGGCAGGATTTTTCGTCATAAATCCTATCAAAATCGATACTGCTTCTTCCGAGATCCATTTCGGATAAACCACATCGTCCCGTAAAATGGACTCGAACAGATCGTCTTCGTTGTCCGCTTCGAAAGGTGGTTGGCCGACCATCATTTCGTACATTAAAACGCCAAGTGCCCACCAGTCGACGCTCGCCCCGTACTGTAATTCCTGAAGGATTTCGGGCGCTATGTAATCGGGAGTTCCACAGAATGTTGTTGTTGTTGTTTTTCCTTCGATAATGCCCTCTTTGCACATCCCAAAATCGGCTAATTTACAGTGACCCTCTTGGTCGAGCAATATATTGTCTAATTTAAGATCCCGATAAATAACGTGATGTTTGTGGAGAAATTGCAACGCAAGCGTAACTTCTGCCGCGTAAAAGCGTGCTCTTGCCTCGTCGAATTTTCGAGCTTTCTGAATATGAAACATTAAATCGCCTGAAACAACGGAGACCTTAAATATTTCTAGTCCTCTTATTACCAGAAAATAGCACACTTTTTTTAGCTTACCTCCATTTACGAACTCCATAACAAAAAACAACCGATCGTTTGTCTGGAAACAACTATGTATAGCCGTGAGAAAGGGATGTTTCGCTGCCAGCGTTAAAATTCGCTTCTCCGTCATTGTACAATCAACGTCGTCGTCTTGTATAATCACATCCTTCCGTAGAATTTTCACCGCGTAAACCTCGTCGGGATTTGTTTTCCGTTCCACCAGCATCACTTTCCCGAAGCTGCCTTTACCGAGAACTTTAATGAAATTGAAGTCTTCGATGCCAAGCTTTCTAATTTGATTTTCACTAGCAGGTACTGTATTTTCAGTAGCGTTAATCGGCACCTCTTCCGTTTTTTGAACTGTTTGCAAATTATCCGTTGGCAACGTGTCCGTGACGGTTACGGTCGGCGGTGCTTGACCAGATTGACAAGTCGTCGTTCTATAATTAATCTTTGGAGTTTTGATCTGTTTATCCGGAGATATATTCATTGTACTTAAAATTTCAGCCATGGCCTTTGTGTTTATACCACAGTTATTCGCTACATTTTTCTGGCACCTTTTATGAACATTTATATTACAAGCTGCGTAAAAGGAAAATTTGTTTCGTTTCAGAAATGATCTATTAACATATTTTCGTTGCATACGAGGAATTTCAGTCGTTAGAAACATACCTTCACATTGTAAGCCTTGCTTGAATAAACCGTACAAAAGCGAGCCACAGTGGTCACAAAATGTAAATGTTTTGTAATTGTGTACAGCGAAACGATGTGGCATGTCTATGCTGAAGCGTGGACTTTCTGTATCGTGAGTCGACTGAAATTCAATATCGTTCGAATATCATTAAACAATGCGAGAAATTTGGAGGAAAATATTGTGTTGCAGTATCCAATACGAGAACGTGATATTAAAATGATATTCGTTTACCTCGTCTTTCATGCCTGGGCATTTTGTAATGACCAATTTGTGACATCTCTTGTGAACTACGCATGTACAAACTGAAACACAATAATATTTACTTTAACGGATTTACACCTTTTTATGTAAATAACATTGAGCATAGCATGACCAAAGCTGGCTGCATGCGTGATTAGACGCGTCGATTCGATATGACAAGCATAAATAAAACTCAGTGGATGTTGTGATAGTCTTGCCAATAGGAACAGTATAAGCTTGAACATTAAAAGACAGAATATGACATCTAAGGATATGATAAAAATGGAACCATTGGAGCCCCCTTGTAATTTGTTAAGTTGTACTTAAAGACATGCAATGGAAAACTTGCTTTATTACCATGTTTAAATTAGAACTAATATAATTTGCATGTGAGAACCTAAATGATGTATTACAAATGTATCATTTTTTTTTTTTAGAAGTATTATTACAGAAAGCACAGTGTCGAGTATCAAGCCACAGGCCAAATTAAATGTTGAAAATCTCAAGTTTCCAAACTCAACTACAAAAATTATTGACTGCTCTAAATGATTTAATTCTTTACGAATAACTATATACACATACACACACACCTAGGTAAACATGTGTTCACACAAATATAGAGCAAGCAAATATATAATTATAATATCTGTTAATAACGTGTATGTGTCTTCTCACCTTGACACTGATAGCCCTGCTTGCCCAAGCCCCTGAAATACAACAGACAAAACACATCACATCATCTCCTGATATACCCTCATAAAACACATACGTATGCCTTCTTGGACCATAAACCATAATTAGATGTTTATTATGCTAGCCTTTTGAGAAAGATTAGGGAAAAAAAAGACCACTCAATGTGCATGTCTGTCTTACGTTTGCGTACTACGTTCTCGGAAGAGATGTTCTACAACTATACCAATAAACTCCCTTGTACAAATATTACAACACCTTGTTAATATGCAAATAATTTCACCAAACAGTACATGTAGTATATGCTTGTAAAACCAGTACATGCAGCCGATATCTCGTCGAATAATTGAACCCGAAACAATAATAATTATGTGCTCGTTATTCCGCTGCATCGAGGTAAAAAAAGAAAGAAATATCTGAAAGAGATTTAATGTTGTTATAGTCTAGCAAACTAACTGAAAATTATTCATTATGCATTCGTTGTAATACAGAATTAGAGAGAATAAGTATTTAAAGTAGTATTTGAAAAGTCATGTGTTCTCCCAATGATACCAAAATCAATTACAAGAAACCAAATACCCAACATGCAACTTGAAAAACTTTCAAAATTAATTCAATGTTTCCCAATTCCCATATTAATTTGGTGTGCATAACGGTTACCAAATTTAAACACATGATATATTTTAAAGCACACACAACCTAATTAAGTGTACAGAGTTTTACACCATGAAATGATTTAAATTAGTAAATGCCTCGAGTCAGAGTTAAGAGTATGCTTGTGAAATAGACCCTAAGCAAGTGTAATCGATAAATGTCTGCCAGAACACATACCATATGAATTCACGGCAGTGAGAACAGAAAGTTGGTTGTCTCAGGAAAGTAGCCATAAATTTATGGCCATTTGCTTGGTGAACCCTACGTCGCATAGCACCCCTTCGTCGATTGAAGCCCTGTCGTTCTTTGAACTCCCTCCTGGGTTCCCTCCCAGCAGTAATGCTTCCACCACCTCTGCCTCCGACTCCTTCTCCATTACCTGTGCCACAGCCTCGCTGTTGATCTAAAATTTCATCATGAAATTATATCCTATATGTGTTTAATCAAACTATTATCGATCCTTTACCTTGATCATTCCACTTCAGATCAATCCTAACCCTTAGTTTTCCTTGAGGCTCTAGGTCAACCTAAAACAAGTTTCATTTCACATTGGTAATTTATTACAATTAATATTAATTAATTTATAGATAATGTATTAATACATAACAAACTTAAATATTAATCTAATAAGAATGAATCATTTAAATATAGTATTGATAGTGGATAAAGTTTTATATCATTGTATAAAATTATAATTTTTTAATACACAGTGCATTGAAAAGATTACTTTACTTGTTTATAATTATCATCAATCTGTGCCATCTCAATAGAATTAACTTCAATCATTAACTACTTAAAATCTATGTAATATCTGTCTTGTATCTTTCTTTGGTTCAGGTCTTATTGACATAGTCTTATCACACTACCTTGAATTTTCTTATATCTTACTAAAACTGCACACAAACACAGATTACACATTACTTTACTATTCCATATATTAGCAAAAAATATCAAACTGATAAATGCACAAGCAGAGATATAGGAAAAGAAGTAAAAATAAAAAATTATAATTTGACCAATCTAGTATTGTATTATTTTTGGATCATATGTTTCAATTTTAAGAAAACCTGCTCATAATTCAACATTATCTTAATTTTCTTCATTAGATGAATCGATAAACCATTTGATAGTATTATAATCGTTTGAAAGAACTTGATTCCATTTTCGAAAAAGTAGAACGTCCTATGTTTACGCGAGAATCAGTGGTATAAGTTTCGGCGAGTATATCGCTACTTATAAATAATTTCTCTTAGAACAGAAAAGTTAGCAGTAAAAAAATGACTGTTATATCGGGAGAAATTAATATTGTTAATAGTTTGATTTGATTCGAGCGTATAGTTTAAAACCAACCCAAAAGTCTGCCGTCTTGTCGCTTCTGTTGACAAGCTCCTCGAAGGGGATGCTGCAATTGGCGACGAAATAATCCGGCGGTAACGCCGCATCGTGAAAGACAGTAAGCCCAAGCATGACTGCATCCTGTACCTCGTGGGTGAAGGACTCGTACCATACCGGATTGAAGGTTTTGGGCTTCGTGGACGAGCGATTGAGATGATTCTCATCTACGTCCAGCTGAACGTAAGGGTCGAGTATAGGTTCGTTCTGCCAGAACTTACGCTGTTTGTCCGTCGCCCTTAGCCCGACTGCCTCGCATATTTCGATCTTCATCGTTCCCGTGAACATCGTGAATCGGAAACCGTGTTACCAAAAAAGCGAGGACAGAGGACGGACGAGCCAGTCGACGGGCTGTCACGCCTGTCGACGAGCTGACACTTCAGATCGTGCGAGCAGGTTATCCAGAATTGAGTAAACTACCCAAGTCAACCAGATCGAACCACCGTCGCTGTCTCCGACGTGTTCTGGCCGGAGGAGGTTGTCGGACGGCTCGATACGTTTATCGAGGAGACCTCCGAAAAAATGTCACGTATAGTTTTCGCGCGGTAAATAACGACCTTCCGTAGAAATGTGTGGCGCACCGCTTCGAATATCCCGTCACTGACGAGCCTTTGGCTCTCTCTCTCTCTCTCTCTCTTATTTTCCTCTCACTCCCTCGCACACGCACGTACACTCTTTCCCTCTGTGTCACTCTGTCTCTCATCCAAGTTTCTCCTTCTCCGCCTCCCTTACCCTTTCCCTTCGTCACCGCCACCAGCACCGTGCAGTTATAAACACTCGGCCCGCTTCGCGTTCACGCATAACAGACACGGAAACGGAAGCTGAATTCCCGACGACAACAGAAGCCTGTCGTCGAGATCGAGACGCAGTGGAAGCGGACACGGGACCGCCGAACGCGAGACGATGCTGGTTATTGCGAGGCGCCCCGTTCGCGAGTACGAGGTCTGTCCTTGTATTTCCAATCTCCTGAGAGCCATTAAGCTCCTCTAACTCTTTCTTGGATTCTTGTCTTTCGTGCAACCGTGTCCTTTTCTTTATTATTGTTATCCCGTCGCGTCACCGAACGATTACGACACGAGTTTATAACACCCCGGAGAGAATCTTGTTTCGCGATTACGAGGACGACGTATCGCGATAAGCACTCGTTTACCGTCCCTTGGCAGCCCCCACCGACCCGAACCGCTCGATTGGTCACTCCGCGCTTCGTCTAAAGGGCGACTCGATCTCAGCCTCGGATCCCGTTCGGAGCATCTCGTGTGTTTCCGTCGAAAGCTCAGGCTGCGTTTTCACCCGTGCACAGAACTACGTATTCGTTGCATTTCGCCGCGACGAAGCTCCTCGACATTTTCACACGGTGAAATGTTCGACTCGGAGAACCGTTGAAAGTTAGTGTCGCGTTTCGAGTTTAGTCGTGTACGCAATACGCCTCCTCCCGCGCTTTTACGCGTTAAGCTTGCGGAACAAGTGGAAACAGAATGATGCCTAGACGACATCTGATTGGACGAGGTTTGGCTAAAAAAAGCGCACTTTTACTTACAGCACCGGCATCCAGCGATCGTTGAGAAAGGTTGGGAACTGTTTGAACTTTGAATCATGTTTATTCTAAATATAATATTATACTGCAAGTATATTGCAAGTGGAAGGATAATTCGTCGTTCTGTTGCCACTGAATATCGTTCCATCGTTCCAGCGCCATTCCGCTTGCGATGAATTTCGGAATCTGAATCGAGGGAAATGGGTCTCTGATTGGACGAATGTCGATCGAAAGCAGAGACCGTAAACGTCGTAACGATATTGCGAATATCAAGTTGAAAATAACGGGTCTTGGCGAGTGAAGGAATTTCAGGTATTTATTGAGCTATATAAATAAACGAACACAGTACGAATCTAGTATTTACACCCACGATACGTTTAACGCAACGATATCCTCGCGCTGCTTCGTCGGGCCAGGACATTTTTGCGCCGGTGGCTCCGTCGTACAGACGGAAACAGAGAAACCCGCGAGAAAAATCTGTTCGTTCTACATAAGAACTATTCCCTCGACGATCGACCGAATCGTGTCTCGTTTTTCTCCCTATGAAATTATCACAAGTATGCGCATCCTGCATCGACGGATTCGATGGATACCCGGTACGATCGCGATCCAATTCCCTCGAGTTAGAATTTACGACGAAAGGTTGCACCGCATGCGAATACGTTCGGTCGATCGTCGTCGATTCGAGCAATCGCGATGCGTCTCGTGTTCAAAGAATAAATATTTCATCGAAATGAAGAGAAGTGGATTATACGGAGACGTGACTTCGATTATGACTACCGCGTACGAAATAAGAACGATCCGAACGTCATCGATCGTGTTTCGGATCGCTCTCATGTGCCGACGACGACGTCCGACGTGGACGCGGCCTCCTGCGATTCAGCAATCTCTTTCTTTTTCTCTTCTTGGTCCATCCCCGATATCACATAGACTGGTTGCTGGTACGCCAGAAAATGCTGGTCCGCCGCTAACGTTTTCGTCGGATCCTTCATTTTCATCTGAAACGATACATAGGTTAAAATGAATTAATATTAATTTCATTGTTTCTCCGTAGACAAGGTGGTGAACGTCGTACCTTTTTGCGGTACAACATCAACAGAATCAACAAGCTGCTGATTATGAAAGCGCTTCCCGCCGCCAGAACCAGCGTGGCTGTCTGATAAACGGGCGTTTCCACTTCCGTGAGGATCTCCCGTTGCTCCAACGCGACGATTCGACTCTGCATAGCCATTGGGGTCGACCTGTGCGTGAAACGGGACGTCGTCGCGTCTGCGTACGATTCGAGCATCGAGAGCTTCTGGATTCTGGTCAACTCCTCCAAGTGGAACGCTATGTCGACCTTGTTCGGGCCTATTATCTCGAAGCTGAGTATGGCCGAGTCCTGCCCGATCTCCACCCGTATCCCATTCTTCACTCTGGCGCCCAGGTCCCGTAGAAGGTCCTCCGCGTGTTTCACGAACGTGGGTTCGTCGGTGGCGAGGAATCGACCGGGGAAACGTAGAGTGACTTCGACAGCTTCGATAGGCGTCGGTACTGGACACAGAAAATGGAACATTTTTTAATGGAAGGTAGGACAATTTTCAAAGGATATTTTTTATATATGTCCTGGACTTGTTAGCGGACTCATCAGTAAAGCTTCCTAGCAGGTCTTGCCTTAGGCAACGGGATATTAGATAGGAAATTCAACTTACAACAAATATTCGTTCCCTTCAAAAAAGGCTCCGATCCGATAAGTTGATTGCCAGCCTCGTCGACGCACCAGCACGTAACAGCAGCGCACTGGGTCGGCTCGAATCTACCCTGACGGTCGCATATAGCCGGAACGTGGCCTCTGTCCTTCATCGCTTGACACCTGGTGCCAAGCACCTTACCGACTTGTTTCTCGTCGGTCTCCAAGTTGATCAAAGAGTTCTCCATGAACGCCTGGATCTCACGATCGATTTCCTGCACCACCGGTCCCCTGCCACCCCTTCTAGCTTGCCTGAAGTTACACTTGGGCTCGGGTCCTCTGGTCAGAGAGCCCTTCACGGGCTGACCCTTTCTGTTGACGCACCAGCAGACACCGACGTGCTCCAGGCACTGGACCGGTTCCCACATCCCCGTTCCTGGATCGCATCTGGGCAGGAAGGCCGGTTGCTTCAGCCTCTGCGACGTTTTCAAATTCTTCTCGCGGACCCTCTCGCACTGGGACAGCACCGGGCAGACAGTGTCGCAGACCAAACGACTGGAGAAATCGTTGTGGCCTAGCGCACACTCGGTCTTCTTTCTGCACTCGTTGTGCTCAGGGTCGAAGTACCATCTGTTGGTCTCGTTCAATCCCACGGCAGAGTTGCAGGGTACCTTTCTAGGCGGCTCGAAACAGACTTCGCGGGGTTTTGGGCAGCAGACAGCGTACTCGTCCAACGGCGAGAGCTCGCATTTGTGGGTGGATGGACAATGATGGCCGTGAGGACCGCAAGTCGCCGGCGAGTCGTCCTGGTCCAACAACGGCGACCCGTTGGGGCACGGATTGTCCTTCTTGGGTAAACAGACTGGTACAGGAGGACAGGGGGGCACGCTGCAGGCAACCTCCACCATTCTACAAGCTTCGTTCTCCCCGCGACACGTAACGCTCTTGCAAGGATCTCGACAGGAGCACGTGGGACAGCCGCTGTCCGGGTCCAATTCGAATCCTTCAGGACAGTCGAGCTTGCAGTCGATCTCCGGACACCTGAGCGGCGTGCTGCACTTGGGTATCACTCCTTCGAGGACCCTGGTGCCCGCAGCTTCCCTGCCCTCCTCGTCCACGCACCAGCACATCCCGTTGTGACATTGAACAGGCTCGAACGCTCCGCTGCCATCGCATCTAGGAATGTAAGTCCTTCTCGCTGGCTTCCCCGACTCTCTGGCCGCGTGTTCAGCCACTGCTCGCGCGTGCTGGCAAGCCGTCGCCATCACCGGTGTCACGCACTGCGTTCCACAGCCTGTGGAGCAACATTTCTCCGTCGTGGAACATTCCTGGTCGTTGCTGCACTGTAGCTCGCAGCTCGAGGAGCTTGGCACGAGGTAGGGGCACTGACCTGGCTTCATGGCCAGACAGGCCGGAACCGCTGGACAGTACTGTCCGGAGCCACAGTTCACGTCGACCATCGTGCAGGTCTCCTGAGCGCCGCAGGTGATGTCTTTGCAGGGATCGTGGCAACGACACTGCTCGCAACCCGTCGCGTCCACCTCGTAGCCGTAGGGACAGGCCAGGTCGCACGACAGCGTTCCGCACAGTTTCAGGACATCTTTGATCTCGTTGCAGTCGCTGCTGCGATTCACGCCGCTCTTCAACGTGACCCCGCGATCGTTGACGCAGGAACAGATACCCTGGTAACACTGCAGTTGCTTGTAACTGCCGTCCTTCTCGCACTCGGGCGCTGGTATTGCCAAAGACATGTCATCCCGCGTACCCTCCATGCGGTCGTTGAACTCTCGCAAGTACTCGCACACTGAAACGGAAGAGTTTCAATTTTTTTGTAAATAAAATTAATAAGTAAATAGTAGCGTGACTGTTACTCCAAAGAGCAATCGTACTTGTTTGCGTCTTCGTGGAGTTCGCTGACGTCATACAGCACACCGACTGGTCGATTTCCGGCACGACGGTGCAGTTGTAGTCTTGCGGACACGTGTCGTTCGCCGAGCAAATCACCGCGTTGCGCTCGTCGTCGATCAACGGTGTCCCGTAGACGCAGGGATTCGTGTAAGCTTTCTTGGGTTTGCATTCTGGTTTCGTCGGGCAGAGAAAGTCCGGGCAACCGTCCTCCCGACTCAACACACATTCCTCCTTCTCTGGGCATGGGAAACTGGAAGGCAGAGACGTTTGGAATTAAAAAACAGTGTTACAAGACGGTTCGTTTCATTGGAGGAGCAGTCTGGTCCGGGAAGGCCATATTTAGAGTTGTTCAAAGTGTTATAACTCTTGAGTTTTATTTAAAAACAGGACGCAGTTGGGTTTCCTCAGAAATAAATGTACGATCGGAATAATCAAAGTTACAGAATTGTTTATCGAAAGGGTTAAAAATTCTTTTCTTCCGCTAATCGATTCTCACAATGTTTCAGATCAGACTACCCCCATTAATTATGGTTGCACGCTCACCCTTCGCACGGATTGTCGCACTCGCAAGTGGGACACCCGGAGGCGTCCGTTTTGAATCCGTATTGGCAAACTTGGGCGCACTGTTGGGAGACACACGACGCCGGGAGGGACCTTCCCTTCGTTATCGACTTGCAGTCGACCTTATCAGCCGGCCCCATCGACCCCGATATCTTTCTGCCGTTGGTATCCACGCACCAGCAAACCAAACCGTTTCTCGAGCATTGTCTGGTCTCGTAACCGCCGTCTACAGCGAGGGAAGACACATTAAATAAACGAATTTGGAACAGGAATTTATCATCTTACCATCCGTACACTGAGGAACGTATCCGCGTCCTTGTCTCTCGGAGATGCTCAGTATCTTCGCCAGCACCCTGTCCCGATGGCAGGCGCTGAGGCTCTGCGCGACGGTGCACGCTCCGCCCCCGCAACGGTCGCTGTTGCAGCACTTCTGCGGCGCTGGACAGTCCAAATCGTGCTGGCAAGAATTCCCGCAGGACGTCGAGGCAAGATCCTCGAGAGGACACGTCCCCGGTCTCTGTAGAGTCAGGCTGGACGGGCAACAGACACCGTACTCCTGTTTCGGCTCCACTCGGCAGCTGTACATCGGCGGACACGTCGGTTTACCCGGCGAGTCGCCGCAGAGGAACGGCCTCGGCGAGTCCGTGATCTGCAACGGTTCGCCGGAGGGGCAGATCGTCAGCAGCGATTTCGCTTTACGGCAACTGGGAATCGGCGGACACGGCGGACGGGCGCACGTTACGTCGATCAGCTCGCACGTTTGGCTGGTCCCGGGACAGGCGATCCCGCGACAAGGATCCCGACACTCGCATTTGGGGCAGCCCGTTTTCGGCTCGATCTGTTAACGGGAAATCGTTGGTGAGCGTTGCACGGATTAGTCAACGTTAACGCGAGCTTAAATTGGTATTTCGTTGCAGGTACCTCGAAGCCCAAAGGGCACAGCATTCGACAGCTGTGCGCTGGACACTCTCGAGGATGATCGCAGTCGATCACGTCCTTGGCGGGTCCTCTGGTCCCAGGTACCTCGACACCGATCTCGTCCACGCACCAGCAGCTGTTGTAGCGAGGATGACACTGCACCCTCTCGAACTCGCCGGTCTCGTTGTTGCATGTCGGTATGAATTGCGACGGTCCGTGCGACCCGAGGGCACGCGACCTCCTCACGGCTGCCTGCGCCAATTGCTCGCAACCGGTCAGCTCACCGACGACGCATCTGAATCCGCAGGCCGTCTTGCAGCAACGCTCTCCCGACGCCTGGCACTGGAAGTCATTTTTGCAGGCCGGGGATCTCGACGGACACACGTTCTGCTCCTCGAAGGATGGGCATCGACCTAGCGTCTTCAACGATGGCTCTGCAACGCGATTACGGAGATTATGGTTACATTTATCTCTTCCTAAATAAAAGAAGCGAATAAACAGGATCCCATCTAACGTCCAAAATCCCGTTGGCGCATGTGGAGAGGTATTTATTCGGGAAACGTCATCGAGCGGACGGCAATCGGATCGTCGATGGCTCCGGTAACAAGGAAGCTCTTTTATAGGTCAGATCGAAGCGAGACCGATCAACGTTCGGGTGTCCCGCGCGAACAGAGACGGCACGAATCGCCGCTTTTATTCTCGAGCACGCTCGGACCAAATTGTAGCGCAACGATAATAATAATAAAAATAGCCGGAGTTGACCTAACGGTTCCTCGCATCCTACTGCCACACTTACTTTACGCTTACCTAACGCGACACCAGCGCGTTTCCAGCGGTGGCCTGCAGTAGTCGCGGTGAGACTTGGAATCTTATTTTACGATGCAACTAGGGACTCGATATCCGTGTAGAACCTTCTCTAACTCTTCTAACGCGGTGCAAACATTCCGACAGCCTTCCCGTAACCCCTGGGAGTCATTCCTAAGTCGTCTCGAGCGTGAAACATTTTACGCTTCGACGTTGACGATTCGAAAGAGGTCAAGTGCGCTTGACGATATATTCGATGAACAATAAGCGTATCGAGAAAGGAACGGTACGACGAGGGATCGAATTATTATGATCACTGGTCACTTTGAATATGGCGTGACTTGGTATTGACGCTATTGTTATTTATTAAAAATTAGAAATTCTCGATTTTAACGCAACGTGTGCATTTTATTACAGATATCGCGTGTGCTATATTCAACCGGAAGCATCGATGGAGGCTGAGCCAGGTACCTTGCACAGCATTCGTTCGGCGAAGACAACAGTTTCGGTGAGTTTGTTATACACGAATTACCATTAATTATGCATAAAACCGGGATAGAAATAGCGTTAAACGCGGAGCTGACGACATCGCGTTCTGGGAGCGTTCGATACCGTATAAAATTACGTTACGTCGTGTAGAATTCAGTATACGAATAATTATTAAAAACTATTTGATACGTCCTACGTGATCGAAGCCTCGAGCATACTGTAAAAATTATGCAAAATTGGCCAAATCGTCTGACCAGTTTCAGTTTTCGAATGGCCGGTACAAAGCCCCAGAAGCTCTTTGAAAATCTGTGGGCAGCATTGAAAAGGTGAATGTCCACTGAGCGCAATTTTCCACCAACATCGATCATTGAACTCGACGTCCAGAGTTCAAGCATAATAGAATCAAATTTCGTCACGGTATTGTCGAAATTTTGTAGAAAGTATCGTTCAGGTTCGATAGATTTATGGATTAAATATTTATACGTTGCTGTAGGTGTAATTAATTCAATATATAATCGCTCCAAAGTAACTTTAATCCTCGCCTAGTAGACTCATGGTGCGTTACATCGAAAACCTAGTATATAATTGATAAAAATAAAATTGAGATTCGCGTGAAAATGGACTCCAAAGAATATTTTTGAGAAACAATTCGGAATCGAGGGTGTTTGAGGAAAGAATTTGGTGGATTTTGCAAATGTGTCCGCGTCGTTTTGTTCGTCCACTGCAGACGTGTATGAATACGTGACCTAGGAGTGGTACGAGGTTGCAGAGGGTTAAAAAGAAAAGGGGACGAGCCGCCTGTAAAGGTTTCGAGCCGACAAGATCGGAGGGAAAGTGTGCGCGAACACAGACCCACGTCGAACGTATGGAATATCAATAGCCATGCGCCGCGGCTGTCAATCGACTTTTTACTTTGACTCTCTATACGCCACGTACTCACACCATTACGGACTTTGTAAAAGTCCAGTGAAACTACCGAGCACATCCGATTACCCGAATTTCCGGTTCGTTGACCGTCGTCCTCTTTCTACCTGCCTTTCTCGCTCTATTACAGCCGTTCTCGCTGTTAATCCCCGCTGCAACATGCGAGTTTCGCTGTTACGACATCCGAGGCTCGCGATTAAATTCCACGTTGCATGATAAAGGCTTAAGGCTCGTTGGAACGTGACGAATGGTTTTCTAACTGAATTCGAGCGACTCGTTTCCCCGTCTTCTTTATTTACGGATCGTAAAATCATTCGTTACCGATAATTATAATTCGTAATCATCCTGATATAATCGAGCAGAGGACATTGTACGCGGTGAAAGGCTGCATCTTTGAAACGGTTAAAGGTAGACAAAAAACTTTACGACGTCCGCGTTTCGCTGTGGGGGCAAAAACGGGGAACGCATAATACGTTTAAGGTGGGGAAATGTTGCAAAGAATGTCAAAGACACGGAAAAACAGAGAGGGGGGAAGAACATCGAAGTGACAGAGAGAGGAGGGGGGAATTGGTAAAAGGAAAGATGCAAAAGCGGACGTCGACGAAGCGCCAAGGAATGTGCTTTAACGGTGCGAGAGAAATTCAATTTGTTTATTGCCGGTAGCACGCGAATCGTCCCGGACCTGATATTTATCGCGAGGTCCCTGTATCCTGCTGTAACACATTGGGAATCGATTAACCGTTCGAGGCAATCCCGGTACGCGACGGTGCAATTTAACCTGGCAATTAATGTCTCGTTAATTATGTCATCTATCCTTGTACAGGACGGTGGCGCGGCACGTCGCGTTATAATCCCCGACAAATAATTAACTCATTGATTAGAAATGCTCTCCCGGTGCCGCGCGGGTATCGATACCCGTCTATCCTCGATGCACGTACCATCCGCGGTGGGAATACGCTTGGGCGTTTCGTGAAATAAAAAAAAATCGCAACGTTTCAGCGTTTCAGACGCCCGCTGAATATTTTAAAACCCTCCCTCTGTTGCGTTTTAATTCCATTTATGGTAATCCGGCGGTTCGGTGACTTTTCACGATTTTTCCTCGACTCTCTTTTTTAGTTAGGACTTATTAAAGGTTTCTTGAGTGTTTCTGTTAAGTTGCAGACCGCCATATTGAATTTACGGGAAACAACGCAAGTACAATAAAAAGGAATAAGAAACGTGTGTTTAGAGTATTTATCGAACGAGCAAACTGCGGTAGAATTTACGATGAAACGTTCGCGAAGGTGGTCGAGGAAGATCCGGGGGCCTGTTGTTGGCTTTTTTGCCTGCGGTTCTCGCGACACCAAGGACGAATTCGGTTCTCGAAGTCCGATCACGTCCGCGGCGTCGCATTATATGCAGATGCACGGCCGTTTTCGAGAGAGCCTTTCCTTTTTTTTTCTTTTTTATCGCCGCGAACACGAACACGAACACGGGAAGAGGCTCTATTGTTTGCTAATGGCCGCTCTTTCAATAATTCGGGACCAATCATTACGGACGAGCGAGTCGCGGCGGGCGGGGACGTGGGAAATAAAATAACGTACGAGGGTTGAAAAGAAACGAAAACGAAAAAGAACGGACGTACCTGCTGTGACTGATGATGACAGAGACAGTAGCAGCCAGGTCGATGACACCCACACAACGGCGCAGGTAAGCCCACCGTTGCAAAAATCACGGCGCATCCTCGGCGCATCAAGTGATTTTTAAATCGGCCGCTATATCTGAAATTATCGGAAAATTCAGGCGTTACTGGCTTGCGTCGAGCTTGTGTTCCCATCGATCGTACCAAAATATTCGGTTCACGAAGTTTCGGGAAACAGAATAGTAACGATAGCTCTACGAAATTAACGTGGGAGAGATCAGTTTTGTTCGATGTTAATAAAGCTGTCCAAGGGGGGAAATGTGATTAACATGTTAATATGTGACGTCGTTTTCCGTATTCGCCACCAGAGGGCTACGCTCTTGACTTTCTCGCAAGCGCTCGTTTGACCCTTCGATATTCCGTGTTTAATGCAGGATCTGCTAGGAAACCTTACTGTACGATATTATTCGATGCAATTCCATATCATTAAGATATTCCGTACGCGATGAATCAATATTTGAAGCAATACATTTCCCCGTCTCTGTTCCTTTCCGCACCGGAAGCCGCTATTAAAGTTTCCCGAAGCCGTGCTACGCGTCCCGAGCCAATAGAGGCCAAGATTATAGATCTGTAATGGAAAAAGTTTCTCCTTAAAGTCAGAAGTCGTCGACTCGAAAGCACAAAACCGCGATGGCGTTTCATTTATCATCGAAACGGTTCGACGGAATTAAAAAATATCGACTCGAGCGTGTTTCAACCCCCAACCGACACGTTTTCCATCCTGCAGCTTCAGAATAAACAAGAGTAATATTTACATAAAAATTCCACGTCGATGTAAACCGTGATGCCGGTAAATTTCAAATTACGGGTACGGCCTTGATTGATTATATTGGAAAGCTATAAGTTTGTTTATATCTTGTGAAAGTGGATATCGCTGCTACCAACTTATCGATGTATGACATAATGATGTACAAGGCTATACGTGGTAAGAAATAACAAGCACCAAGGATCAGATACGTATTGGAAACGGGGCTGAGCATCGACTAAGGTCTCTAAGAACTTGCGTTAACTCGTTACAGAAGAACCTCGATAATTGCAATGGGAGCTGACCGTTCTTACGGGTGTCGAGACTCTGCAATTATCGAGGTAACTGATTGAATAAGGCGAAACTTTCCTCCTATCAATTTCTCCCATCTTCAACTTCCTTCGTTGCTGATAATATCCCATAAATATTCGGAACAGTTCCGGTCCAATTTGTTCACAAATTTTGTTCAAAAATATCAATTTCTCGATTGAGGCTTCGTTAAAAAGTTATTAAAAAATTAAATTCAAAAATTTCAAATCTTTCTGGAAAAATTATTTTCGGTCGCAGGAGTGAATTACAATCATTTTTTAAACGAATTGGTATTCTTGATTTTCGTCTCATTTTGGCCTCTAGAATCTCTCGTTAGAATTTTTCCCAATATAAATAAAAGAGACGATTGTAGATTAAATAATTTGACTAATGGTCGATGATTGGCGGAATACGAGGCATTCCGATTAATTTTGCAATTCAAGACCGTCGATCCACGAGTTTATTGCTTGGCGGTTTCGCTGTTAAATGATGGACGGGAAATAATGTTTTAATTCCACGGGCAAGTGGCGCACTCGGTGAAAAGTATTCTTGGAGTCAGGGATGCGCCGCGAGATAGGATTCTCAGCCTCAAAAGGAAGAATAACAATGGAAGTTGCGTCTCCTTATTCGTTATGCCGCGGGGAATATTCTAATGCGTCCCTCTCCGTTATTCATGAGGCGAAGTCGGCTTCGGGATCTACGAATTGTCGGGACGGCTCTCGTTTCTTTTCTTTCCCTTTGTTCCTCGTTACAACTTCGACGGAAGACGTTTCTTTTCGCCCTCCGTTCCCGGCTCGCGAATATTTTCATCGTGACCCAATAAAAAGTAAAAGACGAAGAGAACACAGAAAATAGAAAAGAAGCGTATCCTTGACCACGGAAACACTCTGTAATATTCTCTCAAATTATCGCTCGTAGTCTTCAAAGTTCCGTCGGTCTTATAATCCGTTAAAATCGAGCAAATAAAACGGCGATCCTCGAGTCGTTGACTCTGGCTATTTTTTAAGCAACGAATAATTTAATTCTCAGAGTGCTCGTAGCGTACGGATTAAATTTCTTCGGGTGGATCCTTCGCTCGCGTTTGATCTAATATGTACGCGCGGAATTTCTACCCACAGATTCAATTGCAGAGCCATGGCCACGGAACTAATTAGAAACGTCATTAGAGAAATATCTCCGTGTAACGACTATTATTATTGCCTCTGTGATACGTCCGGTTCTCCGAGATAAAAGAAACCGAGTATCACGGAGGATTTTCGACCGCTACGAAGTCATACGCGATTTGAATAACTTCTGAGCGCTCGAAAAATTAATCCACCGGATGTTTTGCTTTAATCTCGAGGGCGGCGTTGGGAGCTTCCTCTTAATAAAGATTCCGTGGACGGACATTTTTCCGCAGAAATTCAATTTTAATCCCAACTGGGGGGAGTTTGTCGCCGTCGCGCGCCGCGGAAATGCACGATTTCCGTCTTTCCCGCGGCGGATATTGCTCGCATCGATTGTCACGTTACATGTGCGGACATTGGAGAAAAATGGGCAGCTTTTAGAGACGGGGACAAATTAATACGAACGCTCGTGGAATTTTCAACTCGAATATTTTTCTTGGAATTTATATTGCAGTGTCTTGTTAGCGATAAGATGTTTTATATCTTCGCGAGAGCTGCCCCCATAGTGTTAACGTTTTTTTCGAAGCACCCTATATTTCGGGATTTATACGAGCGCCGTGAACGGAGCTGTTCGACGGTGAAATTACCCACGGTTACATCCTTTGGGAAGCCTTTGAATTTAGGGGTGTACCCCGTCCCATGAATAATGCATCGGGAAAGACTGTAACGTGGCTTGAACCGCTCCAACGTCATGGTAATTACATCGATAATCGCGTTCAGATTACGCTCGTGCCCGTTCCACGCCCGCCATCGTTCTAAAATACACATCTAACGTGTGCTATGTCCTGGTAATTGATACTCGGGGCGTCTTGCTTTCTTCTGGAGTTCAGATCGTAGCTGGACTTTTCAGAAATTTCTCAATTCCAAAAAGTGAAAATCAATTTTCTCCAATTAAATAAAAAAAAAAAATCGAATTGTTAAGCAGATGAGCACGGGACGGTAAAAGTTCTGTGAAACTTGACGTGCAGGGTGATTCAAACGGTATCGAGACGTTTACAAGAATTTATCGTTCCTTAATTAAGTGCAATATTGGCCAATCTCTTAAAGAATTCTCGCTTTTATTTACATATTTCATTTATTGCCGTTGAATAATACATTTTTGAAAGCGTTTTATTCCCTCGTGGATTGCTTTATTCGCATTATGAAATACAAAGCACGAATTATTACGAAATTACAAGCGTCTTTCTCGTAAATATATGTATTATATTTAATATCGAGTTTCGAAGAAGTCGCGTGAAAAACGACGTTCAGAATGCGCGAGACTAATTATTTGTTCGTTTGTTTAATTGGAGAAATGAAATTAATTATAATTTCATGCCATTCCGTGCACCATTTTCTGGCGAACGAAAACTCCTCGAACGTTGTCTTATTAAAAAGGCTATTTCAATTATATTTAACGGAGGATTAAATGCTCCAGAGGCGACAGGATCTTTTTCAGGTTCTACTGAAAATTACCCAACCGTACTCGGCTATTTTTAACGGCAATGTACATCGCGATACCTTCGTATATCATGCTCCAAATTTCGTAGAACAAGTTTCGAACGATTCATCATAATATTACACCGCGCAACTTTGAAAAGATCATATTTCTTACGAACCCACCCAGCCCCCGTCTAGCCTCCATTTTAAAAACCTTTCGCTTAATGCTTGGCCACGATTGGCGCGCAATTTGAATGGTCCACGAAACGGAATCGTTTCGAGCATCTTTTCGTCAATATTTCTTCCACGAATTTATATAGTAAAATGGATTCTTTTTCTAGTTAAAGAGCAGATCTTTGTTGTAAATTTCATCGTCGTAGTGATTTAAAAAATAAAAGAAAGAGAAGACGATATCAAAGGGCCCGTGCAGGAGAAGATCGAGGGTTTTCTCAAGGCTAATAGAGAATATGTGGGTCACTTCGTAATCGCAGTTCCTTCCGGGTCGAGAGCTGCCCTGCCCTCTCGCGTTGACTTTCTATTGTCGTACTCGTGCTTGAATCCGCGTATGACGGTGCTCGTGCGTCATCGGCGGAACACTTTTCGTCGAAAGGTACTTTTAAACGAGTTCCAGAGTACGGTCTCTCCGGATGATGATCTCTGGTCGCGGGTCATCGCCCGGATGGAAATCCTGAACGACCAACGAAGTCGAATACCGGAATCGAACCGGTGGACTACTTAAAAAAAAGAACCCGCGTTAGCTCGTATCCTTATTCGTGAGTGATAAGTGGCCCAGCGGTACGAATCTGGGTTCGATGAAAATAGAAAGTGCGCTCGTATCGTCCATAGTCTCCCGCTAACGACCGCCATCGGAATCTCTTGTTTGGAAGTCTTCGGAACTCGAGTAGACTCGAACGGTTGCTTGGAATCAGTTCTCCAAGGATCTTGAAAACTCACGGCAACTACCGGGAACTCTCGAAACCGTCGAAAGTTCTTGAAAAGTCTCGGAATTATTGAAACCCTTGACTTCCTTGAGTGTATCGAAAAATCGCGGGGATGTTGAATGCTCGAGGGGGTGGAAAAATCTTAGTTAACTTTGTTCTTGCAAGTTTTATTAAGCAAATAACTCGATGCAACATTTTTATTTCCCTCTGGATGATTTGATTGTATAATCGAGTTGAAACTTTTCGTACGTCTTGGATATAAAAAATTGTAAATCGTAGAATATTCGATGCCTTCTTTTTACGCCAGCCTACGTAACGATGAAAAAGTTGTTCTTAGAGTTACGACCGGTAGCGTGCATCGCGGCTCCTGCATAACAGAACGCCATTTTACGTCGTCGATTTACAACTTCCTACATTTTTTCCGGACTTTCTTTCGCTAGAAAGCTGCTTCTCCTCGCGTGAATAGCTCACCGACGATGGTCGTGGCAGGAAGTCCGCC